CTCGTCGAGCCGCTCAATTCGACTATAATAATTTCATATTTGAAAACCGTTTGTTAACTCAAATTATGGTTTGAACTTTCTTATTGCGCTTCAGGTGCTTGATTTGGACTCATTTGGGCTCGAATTGAGCCGATTTTGGTGTCGTTGAGTTCGTATTTCCGAGACACTTAGACTATAAGTTTGCTGAAATCAGAGACTATAAGTTTGCTGAAATCAGAATTCAGGTGATCCTAGATTTAGTTTCTGAAATTTCCGGCTTGATTTTGCTCGATATTCGTGCCCGATCAAGATAATTTTTTTATGATATATCAAGCATTATTTTGTGAAATGAAATTCTTACTATGCTCTTGTATCAACTTTTTTTTTTGGTGAAAACATATACTAGATATGATTAAGTATAATTTGATTTGATCTATGAATTGAATTGCATGGTTGATAAGTCGCTTGAATTATATTGCTATAGATTTAAACCAAATATTTATGTGATTGAGATGTTTATTTGCAGACGTAGCTATAGCATAGCTGTAATATACTAATGTAGATCTTTGCGATCCAACTCGGTTATCTTTTGTTTGTTTCTCTGAGAATAAGTTATTTAAAATAAAAGGTCTCTTTTACGTTTGAGGTACTTTATCCAAATTTTAGTTTTTTTAATGAAGAATACTTATTATTAAAAGTTATTTTATTTAAAAATTAATGAAAATACTTTAGTTTAGTCAATACTATACGTAAAATTTTCTATTCAACGAGGATATTTATTAGCGTATTTAAATTGTTTTATTTAAGATAAACTTGGACCTCAATCCTTGTGGAAGTTTTATTGTTTTTTAGTGAATCTGATTTTAATATGAAAAAAAAAAGAAAATTCCGATTATGAAGTCTCGTTATCCGGCTTCAATAATTCTAAAAAAAAGAAAAAAAAAACGTCACCCAACAACTGCTAATTTAAAACTATTAAAGAAATAAAATAATTATAAAATTATGTTCGTCATATCTAGCTGGCAGGATGAGAAAGAAAGATCTAACGTTATTTTAATAATGATAAAATTAAAAAACTAACATGTGATACCTTCATTTTTTTTTAAAACTATGTTCGAAATATCGTCATCAGTTTTACCATTTTTATTTTCCAAAAATAAAATAAAAAAATTTTACCTTCTATTTTTCATTAAAAAAAAAAATCAATGGCGGCCATGAGGCCATCTGTGTTTCTCTCTCCTCCTCTGCTCGCCAGTTCATCCCATAAATACAGCCCTGACCTTCTCACCTTGTACCAATTCTCTCTTACGCACTATCCGTCCTCCTTCGTTTTCTTCAGCATCTCACATTTCTTTTTCTGCTTGCTCTTCCTTTTCTCGAATACGAAAGCAAATAAGAGATGGTGGGCTCAAACTGCAAGATTGAAACCTCCGACGCTTCCCTCCCACTTACATCTCTTAATCACATCTCCATCGTCTGCCGATCTGTCGAGGAATCCCTCAATTTCTACCAGAAGGTTCTTGGCTTCTTTCCCATTAGAAGACCTGGCTCCTTCGACTTCGATGGCGCCTGGTATTTTTTTCTCTGAGTTTTTATACGAATCTGAGATCTTTTTCAGATTAATTAATTGAAAAAATCTATGTAATAGGCTGTTCAATTATGGCATCGGCATCCACCTTCTGCAATCAGAAAACCCCAAAAGCATGCCGATAAAAGCCGAGATAAATCCGAAGGACAACCATATATCATTCCAGGTACTGATACTCTGTCAATATGTTCTGTTCTTCATCGGTGTTTACTCTAAACGGATATTCTAATATTGAATTATTTTGTAGTGCGAGAGCTTGAGTTTAGTTGAGAATAAGCTAAAGGAGATGGGGATTAGCTACGTTCAGAGGACAGTGGAGGAAGGAGGGATCTTTGTTGATCAGATCTTCTTTCATGACCCAGATGGCTTCATGGTAGAGATCTGTAACTGTGAGAACCTTCCGGTCATCCCTTTGCCCGCCGCGGTTCAGGTGGCCGGCGTTTGTAAGAGGGTTGGCTGCCTTGTCAAGCAGCAGCAGCAGCAGCAGCAGCAGCAGCAGAAGGTTGGCCAGTGCCTCTCGCCGGCAATCCATGTCAAGGAGGCTCATATCCCCTGTGCATGAAGTGGACCAAAAAAATATCTCATTAAAAAAAAAATGGGCATTCATAATTCATGCATGATGTGATCTAAAAAATGAACCATATATTATTTTGGGTGCAGCATGCATTAATTATTTGAAGTGAGATGCCGTTTTTATTTTAATGATGGTAGGTAGACTAGTAGTTTTTTATTTCCTCAAAACCTAATGTAGGTTTATGGATCAATTTCATATGTTATTTTGTATTAATTTATATTAATGAATTCATATTTATTAATATAAAATAATATGAAATAATATATTAAGTCGAATAATATATACTCTCCTTGAATGAGAGGAATTATTAGGTGGTGATTTGCACGGTTGTGCAAAGTTGAATTTAGGGTCTTGGATTTTAATGAACTCTTATGTATATGTATTCTTATGGAGTGTTGGTGGCTCATGAGTGTGAGGTAATAGAAATATTTTATATGCATTGAATCTATACATTTCTATGATAAATATAATAATTTACTCATAATATCCACTTGGTGACTCATATTTGAGAGAGAGAGAGAGAGAGAAGGAGATGTTATAAGATTATTTGATGGGTCGAAGGGAGTTATAAATCAAATTTGGTTTAGTATAGTCTAGGTTTAGTGGAGAGCCCTTCTTAGAATTTTGAGTGAATTTTTATGGTGAAATGGATGAGAAACTAATATGGGAGTGCGAGGAAATAAGTATAAAAAAAATTTAAATAGAATAAAAAGGGTTAAATAAATAGAGTACTTACCATTCAAAGTGGTAAGGCTTCGAGTATTTACCAAACTCCAAGCCTAGGGTTATTGGTTGAGAGCTTAGGCTTTCAACTAAGAGGTTTAGGATTCGAGTCTATGTGTATACATTGTGTGTGTAAGTTTGCCTTAAATGGCCCAAAAAAAAAAACTTCTTAAATGATGAGGTTGGCTCCATAGCATCCTCTTTTATTGGAAAAGAACTAAATTTTATAACACAACAAAAAAATATTTCAATTAATGGCATGAAGTATTTATAAGCACTAAATAACTCCTGAAAACAAAAATAAAAAAAATCAATGAATACAGAAAATTCACATTTTGCATACATATGTTTCACTTCTCCATATCTTTCAACACATATTTTTGACAAAATCATACACTTTTACTTTGAAACACACACACACACACTTCTCAATCTTACGCACAAACACTTCTCAATCTTACACACAAACACTTTCCAATACACCCACAACAATTAACTTTTCACACACACATGATTCACTTTTCACAATCATCCATACACTTCACTATTCACATACACATACTTCACCTTTCAAAACACTTTTACATGTTTCAATTTTCAATGCACCTTTTAGGCACTCCAACTTTCAATGCATACAATTCATTTTTCAACACACACACACTTTACTATCACTTTTAAACATTTATGCACTTCACATACACTTCACATGTCATACCTACACACAACACTTCACTAACACACTTTATTTTTCTTTTCCAAAATATACATACTTTTCATACAATTCACTTCACTTTTCAATACATGATACATTTCCCAATGCACACATGCATTTTACAAACTTTAAACACTTCACTATTACACATTTACACATTTTACATTTTAAAACATACACCTGGAATGTTGCCAATTACTTTACACAAGCCAAAATACCCTTCTATTCTCCACAAAGTCATCTTATAAGACAATTATAATCATGAAAGCCCAAATCGATGAAACTAAAATATGTAATGCTCATAATATCTGAGTGTACTGTAATGACATTAACATTCTCCAATAAATTTCCAATTTTCAGACCATAAGCCATCAAATACCCAAAGGAAACTTTTGATCCAAAACTCACAAAATTGCCTTCGTATACACAAACTCATATACCTACTCTTCCAACTCATCATTTCTTCAAATGTAATTAAGAGGAAGAAGACTCCATGCAAATTTCTCTTTTCCAAAATTGAAGAAAATGCAAGATGACAAATTAAATATCATTGGTCACTACTACAACAACATATGTAATCCTCAAGAACACATTTAAAATTAACTCTAATTTTAGCATTCCCTCACGAGCCTTCGAGGATTTCTAGGCTAAATAAAATATAGCATACAAGAAAAAAGATTAGAAAAATAAGCTATTTCTAAAGCACAATCAATATAAATAATCAATGAATAATTAAATAAACTCAGTGTCCATGTGATAAGCGCCACTTAATTATAACCCAATGTTTGTAGAAATTAAAAGTGTCTAGGTTTAAAAATTTATTGTGGGGTTTATGAGGTTTTAAATTTGTGTTTAAGTATTAATAAATTAGAGTTAATTTTAAGATAGATTTTAAAAGTTGGGTGATTACTGCCTTTATTTACACCAGGGTCATGATTTCTATTTTGAAAGTTCGTTAGGGATGTTAAGCCCTATAGAACTGGCCCAAGCTAAGTAAGAGAAAGGTGAATTGGAAAACATTAAAACCAAAAACACGAACCAAATCACCACAAATAAAGTGCGGAAGAAAAATAAATGCGGAAGCGATAATAAAAAAAGAACACACCAAATTTATAGTGGTTCGATCAAACCTTGACCTACGTCCACTCCTTGGAGGAACCCTCCAAGTATTGCACTAACTAAGTGTCTCTCCTTTAGCTCCCACAGCTAGGCGGAGAAGCCCTTACAAAATCACTTCCATCTTCCCCGGTGCGGCGGAGTCGCCGGGTCCTTTGACACCAAGGAGATCTTCTTCTTTGGTGAACTTATCTCGAGACAAGCCTTGAATCCGATGGTTCTAAGGTACGTGCTCGCCGGAGCAACCGTGTGGAATCCCCTCCACACTCCCTTGAGTTCCGCTCGCCTTGTAAGCCCGGTTTACCTAGTAGTAACCAGTATTATTAATTAATTTAATTGGGTGGAAGTTAAGAGTTGATAATTTTTTATTAAATTGATCGGTTGTTGGTTTTAATAATTGAGTTTGATATTTTCTAAAATTTACGTTAATTATTGAATCTTTAAAATATTTGTGAATTATTTAATGTATTAAATTAAGGGGTCAAAATTTAACTTTTTAATTAAGATTAAAATATGTAATTTTATTATTTTTTCAAAATATTAGACCATAAGTTGAGTAATTAGATACTAAGTTTGCTAGATTTCAATTTTTCTAAATTAAGTTATGATTTTTTTATGTTTTGACACAAATTTGAATAACAATTGACCAAAATGTTGACTTTTTGACTTTAACTTATTTATGGTGGTTTCATATTTTTAATAAATACTAGACCCTAAATGCTAAAGGCTTTGTGTTTATTTAATTTGAAAATTTTTGGAATTAATTATGAATTTATAAAATTTAGGTATTTAATTGAATTATTTAATTGGTTAATTAAAGAGGCTTTTAATAATTTTGCTCCAAACTTCAAGAAATCACTCCCAAAGGTTAGGAATGACCCATGGGAATGTCCTCAAGTGTTTTAAATATCTTTTGAATTTTTAATTATTTTTAAATGTATATTTAATTAAATATTAATTTTATTAAAACTTAAATTAAGGACAAATTAAGGATCCAATCATGTGGCTTTTAACTTTTTTAGGTAGAGGGTTAAATTTTGAAAAGTTTGATATATTAATTATAATTTTTTGATTTAAATTGAATTAATTATGATTTTATTAAATTTGTATGCCAATTTCAAAAGTTAATTTTGGTTGTCTAAATGGTGGACCAATTGAACTCCATTTTCAGTGAAAATTGGCCATGAGTTCACCTGATCTCAAGGCACAGGCTCGCTAAATTTAGGCCTATGATGGACCTTGTAAGGTCGTTAACCAAACCACCCAAACCACCTTCATAGGCTTAATCTATACTACATAAATCAATATTGGGATATAAATGGGGATGTCTAACCCTTACACTAAGCATAACTAACACACCAAAAGCAAAAACCCTAATTCCCATTAGAATGGTGGTTAAATTAATTTGATCTTAAAGGCTAATTAGTGACCCTTGAATTCAAATTAATTGAAAAGTGACCTTAATCAAATGAAACAGAAAGGGAAAATTTTGGACAAGTTAGAGACATGCTCAAAATAGATCCCTCTAAATCTCAAGCCATGGTGAATTCCTGAGACCATAAAGCTTTGATAGGTCTCCTTAAGACCTTTCCAAAAGCCTAATATCATTTAATTTGGTCAATTGTGCGGGGAGTTATAATTTTTTTGAAGCTCATTGTATTTTTTAGATTTTAAAATATGGAATTATCCAATCAGCCACGCACTTTCAACACGGGCTTTATTTTATTGGGCGGCCAATCATTGGCGGCTGATTAGATAACATGAAATTAATCTAAGCTGTCAAATGTTTAATTAAGCAATCATGATATAAAACAGCTTAAGACCATGGGATTTAATTGGAGCTCTTGATTGAGATTAATGACTATGAATGTGTTTTCAACTTTCCATAGCTCTCCGCAACTATAAAGCTTCTCCAACGTGATACGAGAAATCTCTCAGGAGAAAGTTTACCAAACTTTGCAAGGAGCATCAGAGGGATGTAAACCTAGAATCCAATGGTGGAAAACCATTGGTTCGAAGGCTTACTTCACATTTGATTGGACAACTTAACTAGAGAGATTGGGTTTAGGTTTATACCTTAGGGAAAGATCCAACACATGTGTTTTTCTATTAGGAATCTTGCAGGGACATCAACGAACACTTCTCCTTCAGACGTCTTAGTCGGTGGGTCACCGAAAGCAGGTGTTTGAGAAGTGGGTGGAGGAAAGTCACCATAGATTGCTCAAATTAACTCTAGAGAAGATTAGAAAGCTGGGTGAAAGAATGGGAATGCTCAAAGGGCTCAAAGGATTAATTTCAAAAAGCTAGAGGCGAATGAGGACGTCTAGGTGAGAATGCCCTATTTATACATTGGCCATGGCGACATATGACCATGATCGATTAGCGAGACTGTTAAATGCTTGCTAGCTGGATGAGAACAACCTAGGAAGACTCTCTGAGCTTGAAGAAGGCAAATTCAGGCCCTGGAAAGGGCTTTAGCTAAGGCTAGTGATTGGATATCCCCTGAATCATTGCCATTCACTCCATCTACCATCAACCATTGCTCAGGTCAGGGCGAGATGGAAATTTTAATGGGTAAAGGGTATATGTATTAGGTCATGGTGAAACCAATGCAACGATTGGCTTGGTCAGAGGTGACCTAGGGTGAATTTTGGCTTATGGTTAGCCTCCTTTGGACACTTAGGTCAAGCCATATGGCTAACCCAAGTGGTCCCAAGGCTTGGGCCTTTAAAGGAAACCTCTTAGGAGACCAATGGACCATTTTAATGGTTTGGTTTGGCTTGGTAAAGCCTTGGCCAATGGGTTTGACCTAGGTTGAAGTGTATGTGTGCTTGGTTAACTTGGTCAACCAGGTTGACCTAGGGTCAAGGATTGGGTCAATTGAGTCTGAATTGATGGTATGAACTCAATGAAAGTAGTCTCAAGTGATGGGAGACCCCTTGGATTGAAATACATGTTTAAATGGTTAAAGGACACTTTAGTCAACCATGGCTGACTTGGTTAACTAGGCCAAACCAAAGTTTGGGTTTAGTTTAATGCATTACTAATGATATTTAGACAGCATTAGAGGAGATTTCAAGGTTTGATTTGAGTGGGCTATGTTGAGGTTTGGAGAAAATTTCAAATTTCCCATTAAGGGGCATTTTAGTCATTTGGGCCCCTGGTCAATTGAGGGTCAAGTTGGACCTACCAAAATGCACTTTAATGCTGAACATGTCATAACAAAGGTTATGGACATTATCAAAAGTCTTAGGAAGGGTCCTAAGGTTAATTTCCACTAAGTGGAAGGTCAAGTGACATAGGCTATAAATATTTGAAGGTTTTGCAAACTTTGAATTTCAAGTGAGTTTCTAAGGCTAGGGGCGTCCCCTTGGATTTAAATACATATTTAAATGGTTAAAGGACACTTTAGTCAACCATGGTAGACTTGGTTAATTAGGCCAAACCAAAGTTTAGGTTTAGTCTAATGCATTACTAATGATATTTATAATGCATTAGAGTAGATTTCAAGGTTTGATTTGATTGGGCTATGCTGAGGTTTGGAGAAAATTTCAATTTCCCTTTAAGGGGCATTTTAGTCATTTGGGCCCTGGTCAATTGAGGGTTAAATTGGGCCTACCAAAATGCACTTTAATGCTCAACAAGTCATAACAAAGGTTATGAACATTAAGGGTCCTAATGTTAATTTCCACTAAGTGAAAGGTCTATAAATATTTGAAGGTTTTACAAACTTTGGATTTCAAATGAGTTTTTGAAGGCTAGGGGTGTCAAATTGAACTAAAATTTGGAGGGTTTACCCTAGGGGCATGCCTAATCGATATGCAATTAATAGATTATGAATTGAGGTTATTTGACTAGATTTTGAAGTGATTGAAAAATCACCTAAAAAGAATATTGGCCTTTAACCTTGAATTTTGGTATGAAATTTTGGATTTGACTGGACTTTGGATTTGATTGATTGAGCTTAATTTATTTACCTCAATCACAATCAAATAAATAATTACTGATAATTGTAAATCATTGAAGTTTGATTAAATGAATACTTGTTGATGATTGTATATCATTGAAGCTTGTTTAAAGATTGGTTGAAGGCCGGTGTAGGGTAGGGTTGGATTAAAGTTTAGATTAGAATTTGATTGGGCTCTACGTGATTGACAATTGGATAATTGTCAACTATGAGATCAATAGGTAGGAGTCAGGATGGATCCTGATGACCTCATATCGAAATGAGGTCAACACCTATCTATCTTGCATTTTATACTTAAACTGAAATTATATTTTTCGAAAGAACCTAGGTTGTTAACTTGGTGTCCACTCCAGTCATGCAAAGCTTAGTTGCGCATTTCTTGCAATTCCTTTTGGGAGTTTAATCTTGCTTATCTAATAAATTGTTAAATTAAATGTAAATTCAATCATATCATAAATCACTAAAGCCCAATTATAATCCAGGTTTGAGTGTTTTTGATATTCTAGAATCTTAAAGCACTCTCTATATTTTCCCTTTGGATTATATAAATAAGTGTTCAAATTTGTTCCATTCCATCTTCGTAAAATAACTTATTCAATTCCTTTGCTGCAATCTTTATAAATCAATCAAGATTTAGTCATCACTTTAATCGAGAGCTTTTTTAGGAGTTTCTCCTTTGATATAATTAGTCATAGAGGCTTAAATTTAATTTATTTTTTAATAAATTTGTTTTATTATTACATGCTTATTTTATCATTTAAAATTTATTTAAATAATTTTCATATTTATTATAACATCCAGCTTAACCCAAATTTGTTTCCGATTGAATCATTGAACTCTAAACCTTTCCTTCTTTCTATTTTATGTTGATCCAATTTTCACAATCTTGACTATGACATCCAAATAATATTTCATCAAACAATTCCAATTGCATGTTCCTTTAAGTGATTTACTGATTGCTCGATTAAAATGGTGATTAATGACTCTGTTAAATTTTATATATTTTTAGGACCTTCTCGTGAACTCATTTATATTTTTTTGTGCTTAACAGATTTTATTTATTATTGGTGGACCTGTTTCATGTCAATTTTATTTTTATTTTTATTTTTTATTTTGTTGAGCCTTAACTTTATTTATTTTGATGGTTTTTTAGTATTTATAATATAAACATAATTGGACCTCAAGGAAAAAAAATTAACGGTTAGATCCAGCTTGTCCGCCGGCATCAAGGATTTGACGACTTACCTTGGTCTTACGTGCGGTTGGCTGTCCCGGAGAAATCTTCGTTTGCCCTTTTACATTATTCCGATTTTTTTTTTTGCCCAGCTTCGGCTTTTGCTTCGGTTTCATTGCATTCTGAGGATTGATAGCGCGTCGCGGGAAGAGATTGAGATACTCCTGTTGGTGTCTGCGCTTCGCTTTGGTGAGATTGATTCCTGCTGCTTCATTTCCCTCTTTTTCATTCGTTCTTACCGCTAATCCGTGAATAATTTGGTCGTTAGTGATGGATGGGAACAAAGACGAGGCGCAGAGATGCGTGAACATGGGAAAGGATGCTTTGGAGGCAGGGGATAGGGCTCGCGCGATCAAATTTCTAACCAAGGCGCGGCGCCTGGACCCTACCCTTTTTATCGATAACCTCCTCTCCTCTGCCGGCGCAGATGATGCCAACGGGACTGATGATGCCGGAGATATTTCGCCGACGCAGTCTGATGCTCCTGGAAAGGACTTAGACAAAGGTGGGGAAGCCTCATCATCTTCGTTCTCTTCTGCCACTCTTAGGGCTAGGGAGAAGTCTTCCCCAGCTTCAGCGAATGGATCTGCAGCGGCATACACGGAGGAGCAGATCACTATTGTTAGGGAGATAAAGAAGAAGAAGGATTACTATGAGATATTGGGGCTAGGGCGGAGCTGCACCGTGGAAGATGTGCGCAAGGCATACCGGAAGCTTTCATTGAAGGTTCATCCGGACAAGAATAAGGCGCCTGGTGCTGAGGAAGCATTTAAGGCGGTCTCTAAATCCTTTCAGTGTCTTAGCAATGAAGAGAGCAGGCAAAGGTATGATGTTTCTGGTTCTGACGATCCTGCTCCAGTTAGGCGGTACCACCAGGCTCGTGGACGTGGGTTTAATGCCAATGGTTTCTATGACGCTGACATTGATGCGGAGGAGATATTTAGAAACTTTTTTGGTGGAATGCATCAGGCAACTACTCCTTTTGGTACCTTTCATTTCCGTGCTGGTGGCATGGGTGGTGACGGTGGTCATGGGATGCATGACTCTGGTAATTTTAACATCCGCACTCTTTTACAGATCCTGCCCATCATTGTTCTGCTCTTGATTAATTTCCTCCCATCCTCTGATCCTTTGTACACATTCAATCGTTCCTACCCATATGAACACAAGGTTTTGACATCAAAGGGTGCCCCCTTTTATGTTAAGTCTGCAAAGTTTAACCAAGATTATCCTTATCAAAGTTCTGAAAGGGTTGCATTGGAGGCACGCATTGAGAGGGAGTTTGTTGGTTTGCTTTCACAAAATTGTCGGCTTGAGTTGCAGCGGCAACAGTGGGGTTTCCAGCACCAGACGCCTCACTGTGACATGCTTCGGAAATACCAAGAAGGAGAAATTGTTTGATGTCTATTGCAAGGTTTGTTCTGATAATTTCAGCCATTATGATAGTTTTCTATTATTTATGTATTTCATTATTCAACATGTTTAGGGTAGAATATGAAAAATAAAATAAAATATTACCCTAAGATTAGATTTGGGTATTTAAATAATGCTAATTAAAATATTTTTAAAAGTAAGATTCAAGATATTAAGATTTGGATTATTCACGATGATGCTATTATGTAAGAAAAAAAATAGTTAATGATATTAAGAATATTATAAAGTATATGCTTAAAGAATCAAAAGGAAAAATTTCTCGTTGTAAAAATAATTGGTGGTGGAATCAAAACGTGCATGGAAATATCCAAAATAAAAAGTTTGGTTAAAAATTAGTTTAAATGTTAAATTTTGAAAAATTGGGAAAATGATTTGCGATGTAAAGTATTTAGCTTTTAGTGATTTATATAAGAGATTAAATATTAAGGAGAATGAAAAATGTATGTATAAGTTAGTCATGTAAAGAGATAGAAGAAATAAGAACCTGGTTCAAGTGAAATGTATTAAAGAAGAAGATCAAAATGTGCTTTCATTAGAAAAAGATATTTAATATAGGTTGATGAGATATTTCGATTAGTTTTAAAAAAATATTGTGAGAATATGATTGATTTTAGTGACCTTGACACTCTAAATGAAAATAGAGATTTTTGTTTTTGTCATTATATGCAATTACCGGATTTGGGAGACGAATTCAAAACAAGTAGAAAGTCAAAATGACCTTTAATAGGATCAAATTAGGCTGAACCAAATCAAATTGGGCTGAGATCGGGTCAGACTCGAGTCTAAATTTGACTCGATTCGAGTCAATTTGGGCTCGAGCCGTCTCAACGAAATTAATCGTACGAAATTGAGTCCAAAATAATCAATAATTTTATCGAATCGAGCTCGACGCAACAAAAATTGATTATAAAATTAAATTCAAAATGATTATTGATTTAGATTGAATCGGGCTCGACACGACCAGAGCCAATTAATCGAGCCTAACTGAATACGATCGAGTCTAACTGAACGCATTCGAGTTTGATCCGGCTCGAGTCGGGTCGATTCGAGCTTGAATTGGGTTCGACGATGTTCGATTAAATCGATCGAAAGTGCTCGAGCGAAAAACGAGGTCAACAATTGTGGGACGTGTGATATTCCAATAGAGGTGTCTAAAATCTTAGGACATCCAGGAATTTCTTTGCTTACTAAAATTTTTAATATTATTTTGAAAACTAAAAAGATCCTAGATGACTGGAGGGATGTGTTGGCTCCTATTTTTATGAATAAAAGTGATGAACATGAGTATGCAAATTATAAATGAATTAGGTTAATGTGTTATATATTAAAATTATCAGAGAGAGTAATTGAGCATAGGGGTTAAGACTTGATACTAATGTTTCTCAAAATCAATTTGGATTCAAGCTGGCTAGGCCTACCATGAAAGCTATACATTTGTTTGAGAGGTTTGATGGAGAAGTAGAGAGGGAGAGAGAGAGTAATGAGGATTTAGATGTAATATTTATTAATTTAATGAAATCATATGAAAAAGTTTCAAGAGAAGTACTCTAGAGAGTTTGAGAAAAGTATGTTCTTGGAGAATCAAAAGGAAAAATTTCTCGTAGTAAAAAAATTCGTGGTGGAATCAAATTGTTCGTGAAAAGATCCAAAATAAAAAGCTTGGTTTAAAAAAATAGTTTAAAAGTTAAATTTCGAAAAATTGGGAAAACAATTTGCGATATAAAGAATTTAGCCGTTAGTGATTCATATAATAGATTAATTATTAAGGAGGATGAAAGATGTATGGATAAGTTAGTCAAGTAAAAAGATAGAAGAAATTAAAACTTAATTCAAGCGAAGTGTATTAAGGAAGATGATCAAAAAGTGCTTTTATTAGATGAAGATATTCAACATAGATGGATGAGATATTTCGAGAAGCTTGCAAGAAATATTGTGGGAATATGATTGATTTTAGTGACCTTGACACTCTAAATGAAAATAGAGAATTTTGTTTTTATCATTATATTAGGAAAACTGAATCTGGAAAGGCTTTAAAAATAAAGTGTGTAAAAATAGTGGGACATGTGATATTCCAAAAGAGGTCTGGAAATGCTTAGGAGATCAAGGAATTTCTTACCTTACTAATTTTTTTTAATATTATATTCAAAACTAAAAGGATGCTAGATGAGTGGAGGGATGTGTTGGCTCCTATTTTTATGAATAAAAGTGATGCACAAGAGTATGCAAATTATAAAGGAATTAAGTTAATGTGTTATGCATTAATATTATTAGAGAGAGTAAATGAGCATAGGGGTTAAGAATTGATACTAATGTCTCTCAAAATCAATTTGGATTCAAGCGGGGTAAACCTACTAAGAAAGCTATACATTTGTTTGAGAGGTTTAATGGAGAAGTGGAGAGAGAGAGAGAGAGAGAGAGAGAGAGAGAGAGGGAGGGAGGGAGGGAGGGAGGATTTACATGTGATATTTATTGATTTAGTGAAATCATATAAAAGGTTTCAAGAGTAGTGCTCTAGAGAGTTTGAGAAAAAAAGGAGTTAATGCTTATATCTAAGTTATTAAGGATATGCATGCATAAACTGTTACTTGTGTTCAAACACAAGGTGGTTAGGATCAAGTATTTTACTATTCCAATTGGATTATGTGAAGGATCAGATTTAATATCATATCTTTTTGCTTTAGTCATGCATGTTCTTACCAGGCGTTTGCAAGAGGATGCACCATACTATATGCTTTTTGCTGATGATATTCTTCTTGTTGTTAAGAATAGAGAGGAAGTTGAAAGAAAAATTGAATTATGGAGGTCAGCCTTAGAATCTAAAGGTTTTCATTTGAGTGGATCTAAAATTGAATACATAGATTATAATTTTTATAGTAATAATTATAGTAGTGAAATTATGACTGTGTGATCAAGTCATTAAAAAAAGTGCATATTTTTGAGATCTCAAGTCTATTGTTCTAAGAGATAGTGAAATAGATGGGGATATTATTTGTAGAATTCAAGTTAGATGGTTGAAATGAACGAATGCATCGGGTCTGTTGTGTGATAGAAAAGTACCACTCAAATTTAAGGGGAAATTTTATAAGATGGTGGTGAGACCTGCAATGTTTTATGGCTTAGAATGTTGGTCATTGAAAGAGAAGCATAAACTCAAGTTACGTGTTGCAGAGATTAGGATGCTTAGGTGGATGAGTGATTTTACACTTAGAGACAATGGGAAATGAGTATATACGCGAAAAACTTGGAGTAACTCCAATGGAAGATAATTTTAAAGAGATTCACCTTAAATGATTTGGTCACATAAAATGTCGGCCTTTTGATGACCCGGTTAGGAGAGTAGATGTGTTATGTCTCACTTATGTTAAGAAAGGCAGAGTTAGACCTTAAATGACTTAGTTAGAAAGTATTATAAATGACTTTTTTTTATTAAATTTAAATGAGAATTTAACTCCTAGAACACAATGAAAAAAAAAAATATTCATGTAGCCAATCTCACATTTAAGAGGCCATTATTCAAGTTTGGTATTTGTATGCTAAAGTAGCTTGCCAGATCTTGTTTTTGGTTGATGTGCTAAACTGGTCAGTTAGGAATTCTTTCTTTAATTAGCCACTATTTTGACTTAAAGTTTGTTACACGTAATTCTACTTCTGGAAATTAAACAGTACTATATTCTCCTTGCTGACCCACCTTTTGTAATTGCGTTTGATGCTGATGCACACTGGTGCTCAAAATGTTCTGACTTTCTGAGTGATCCTCCTTTATTATCCATGTAGCATACTTATCATATAAGAATTTAGCTATTTGCTTTAACCAATTGCGAGCAGTTCCATGAATTCTCAACTCTTCTTGTCTAGCACTTTATTTGCTGTCAACACCATTCAAACTGATCCTATTTTCACTTCTAGTGATGTGGAAGAATAATTTATTTTTTCTAATATTTTTATTTTTCTCTTGAGACGTCTGGTATTTTTGTTTTATGTTCAAGCTATTTTGGAGTTTTGCGGTGATTATTTCATATGATGAATTGTTATTACAATGAGATTATTATTGCTAAGGCATTGCGCAGGCTCTTCTTACCATTTTGTGTCCCATGTTCATTATTATGTATTTTTAACTTGATGGTTTGCTATGATAGTTGTATTTTCTCTTTACTTTGGTTGAAACTGCATAATTCTTATATGAGCTATAGTGTAATGATTGTGTTAATCAAGCAAAATGGATTTTCTTGGAATGGTTAGCTCTTCTTATAGAAATGATGTTAGGATTATGATGTAGGGCATAAGTTTTTCTTAATGATTTAGTCTTTTACCTTATAGGTAGGTGATCGAAATTGCTAAGCAATAAGCAGATACTTTGATGTTATCGACACTATCACAAAAAGAGTAGTTTGTTTAAATTACTATTAGATTTTGTTCACTTCACCATATACCATTAGTACTAATATATATATATATATATTAAAGATTGTTTGTCATCAGTTCCAACATCATTATTTATATTGTTTTTTAGTCATCAACAAGCCTATTGTATCTCATTGCATGATGACTTCATTTGTTGCAAAGTTAGCTAGAAGAATGCTTATTTGAGTTCAGCATATCGTACAATTATCATGATCAATCAACCTATCTGGTTAATTACACATGTAAAGTTCATGAAGCACCTGATTTTGCTAACATTCTGTGATAATAGATAATCCCACATTCTTTTTCAATGGGAAAGCCAGCTTGATAATAGATAATCTCAACCTTCTTGATCTTAACTACTTATATATACTTTTGTTCGGTTGCTATTTTTTGTGTTTATATGAGGTTTGGTGTCCGTAGCACAACATTGAAAAATTTCTTTGTTTTTAAATTTTGGTTGTAAAATACTCCTCCCATCATTTGTCATCCTTTTAGTTTTTAAAATATTATTGAAAAAATTATTAATCTTATCACAATAAGATTCCCCATTGCTCATGAATTTTTAATAGGTATATC